TCAATTAAATTCTTCTTAGAAAGAGAAAACAGTTCCTTTTTAGTTGGAAAAAGTGTACTTTGCATTAACTTATTAAGTAATAATTGTACACTCTTTTATGAAATTGTTAAATCAATATGCAATGTTTAATATTTAGGATAACATTGGACTCACATCGATGTGTAATTAAAAATTAAATTTTAAAATTATATGGCAAAGAGATCAATTTTAATGTCGACCGATTTTAATTAATTAATCAAGAAATTATTTGAAAAGTTTCCTTTAGTGAAAAAAATTTATTTAGTACTTAAAGAAGTAGTGCGTCGTATTGAGTTCGTTATCTTGCACGTTTATTGTTTATCATTGTCAGTTGTTTGCATATGCTTATTACACTGTTCGATAAAAAGTCACTTTTCTTTTTCTCCGAAGTACAATATACATATTCCGAAAATTTTTTCTTTGTTAACACAATGCCATTGGTAAAATTTGTGTAATCAGGATTTTGAGTAAATTGGAATAAAATATGTAAAAATAGCATTTTTTCTGTTTTCAATATCTTTTACAGCAAAAAAAAACTTTTTTTTTTCTAAATAAAGTTTATCGAGTCTAAAAGAACATTTATCAGCTTATTTCACTTAATATTGTTTACTATAAGAAATTATTTTTTTCTTATTTTATCCCCATTTACACAAAATTTTGACAAACTATGCAAATTCTGCCAACATTATGTTTAGCGCAAAATATCTTCGGAATATTTATTATAATATAATATATTTCAGAAAGCATTTAAAAGTGTTGAACAAAGTTATTATTCTAGAATTTCAAGAATAATGTGGAATCTAACACATTCAAACTGTTTTTTATTTGTTTTGTAATTGCATGGTAAAATGTGACCATTTATTCGCAAGTAATTTCTCGTCTTTAAACTTCAAACTGTTCTAATCTAAACTTTTTTAAATTTCAATTTTTATAACAATTTCCAGACATTTGTTTTTGCAATATTTATATTAAAATATGCAATATTGTTTGTGCAATATTAATTTTAAAATGACGAATGTATGTATGATTACTTCGTGATCATCGACTATCAATAACACGTTGGCTGGTAATATTCATCGCGGAATGACGTGTCTTTCGTTCTTATCTCTTTTGCAATATAGCAGCTCGGTAAAAAAATTTCTGTACATAATTATACATAAACGGTTATACACGACTAATTTATATGTAGTTTATTTAGAACGGTTATAAATTGTGTACCATCGTTTATGCATAATTATGTATAAAAATTATTTTATCTGGCCATGTTTTAAAAGAGATAAGATCACTCAAAAGACACGTTATTCCGTGATGAATATTGTACCAGCAAACAGGTTAATTGTAAACATTGAAGGTCATGCGTACGAGGTCTGTTCAAAAAGTATCGCGAATTTTGAATTTCCGCGGGTTACGTATATTCGATTTTCGATTTTTTTGTGGCGTTATGTTGGTACTCATGTCTCTCACTTATGCCGACAAGTTCGGCCATTTTGAATGTTCAGTTAATTTTTGACAGCTGCTTTGCTTGCACGTGTTTTGGCTCGTCTTCGATTTTTGCCTATTCCAAAAAATGGATCAAAGAATCTGTATCAAATTTTGTGTGAAAAACAAAATTAAGTGCGCGGACGCATTCCGAATGTTGACTGTGG